GATGGTTAGGGATCAACAACACCTAGGGGGCATGTGCAAGGAGAGAAATGAACCCTGGCCCAGTCTGGGTACCTTGCGTCCATGTTCTGCCCCCTCTCCACCACCACCCCCACCCCCTTTTCCCCCACCACTTCTTAGTCCATCTCTTGATTCATGAATCCTGATACATGTGGCATCCCTCTCACCCAGTAGCAATATCCCTGTGGGAACTATGCCTTTGAAAGTGTGATGACTGTAGCAGCCACTTCAGAGAGTTCCTTTCCTCCTGGAGCTAGCCCATGATCTCCTAATCGGACATCCCAGATGGGCGCCACCTGTTGTTTCACCTTCTCCCTCCCCCACCCCACCCCCAGTCTGTTTCCTGAATCTGACTGTGGTTAGCACACACCCTGAGTTTAATATGCGCTCTCTAAGCTGGCTTAGAATATAGTGCATTCTCCTCTTTTCAGGAACATTTATTGGGTTACCCGTGTGGGTGCGGCATTTTAAACAAAGTGAAATAATGCAGGCCGGCAACTGATCACAGTTGCTGAATTAGTTTCCTTGGAAATAGGCCAGTGAGGAAGAAGATATAAGAATTTAGGCCTAAAAGTTCATTAGAGGTCATTTAATCCAGCCCCTCCTTTTGCAGAGGGCAGAATGGAAGCAGGGCACCTTGAGTAGGTCTGGGGCACAACTCATCAGTGGCAGAGCCAGGCCTGGATATACGTTAACCTTGTCCCCAGTGTACTTTCTATAAGCAGTAATCAAGGCTGGCTGCTGTGCCTTTTTAAAAAAGGTAGAAGCTCTTAGTTTCATCCTCTAGTAATGGGAAGCCGCAAAAGACCGCAGGAAGCTTAAAAAGGAAAAAAAAAAAAAAAAAGGGTAGATAGAAAACTGAAAATAGAGAAGTGAGCACAGCTGGGAGTCCAGAGAGGAGGGTATTTCCATAATCCAGAGGTGGTTGGGACCAAGATTATAAAAATTAGAAGGGAAGGAAATAGTTAGGATGGTATTAGGTTATTACAATTTCTGTTTGAATAGTGATGTAGAATAGGCCCCAAATGTAAGGGCTATTCAAGTGATTGCTAAGCCCCTAACCGAGGCGTGGAGTTTGTTATAACAGACGTAGGTCTCTGTCTTAAAAGATGTGTGCAATTAAAAATAGATGACACTATACATGGAGGACTTCAATAGTATAGGCAAACAATTGAATGATGGCGTTGTGACTTGAACATAGCTCTGGGAGCACTGTTACTAGAACTATAGGGATATAATGTGAAGTTTCAAATTCCTGCACTACAGTATATAAAGGCATCTGTTAGTAATGACCAAAGGCTGACCCCGGAGCATTTCCCTGAAGTAAAAAGAAAAAAGTTGAATTAGAGTGGGAGATGGGTAGCGAAGAGGGAAGGGGAGGGGTCGAAGTCGAGTTCTTGCTCTTCTGGCTGGGAAAATGCTTTACTATATACATAATCGACTTCGTACTACACCGGGGCTCGGCTAGAGAAGGCCCATCCCCTTCTGTTCCACTCCGTTTTGATCCTGCAGTCAGCTGCAGAGTTATAGATGAAGTGACAAGGATGGTATCTTGATTGCATCCAGCTGCCTGGAGTAAGTCAAGGGCAGAGAGGCCCCGCCTGAGGAACAGCTCTCACTGAAGGCTCCAAAGGCATCTGAGATTCGGGACACCTCTGATGCTTTCAGAGCAGCGTAGTTCAGCGTTCTGTGACCCAGTGTTACCAAATTAAGTGTCTCTGGAGAGGAGTCTGGTAAGTGGCTTCAGCTAACAGGAAGAGGACTGAAACCTCAACAGCCTTTGACCCTAAAACTGATCCAGTGTTATTATTATTGCTGCAGATGGGGGCTTGAAAAGAACCCCTTGGGAAAGTGATTTGACCTTCCTTTGCGCGGATTATGTGTTGACTCAAATACAGGGAGGGGGGGAATGCAGCTTCCATCCAGCAGAGGTGCCAACTGAATGGATGCCCCCATCCTCCCCCCCTCTCCTCCACCTTGCCCATCACTGGTGTTGAGTGCAGTTACTTGCACTTGGAGCCCTTCAGAAATCTCTTTAATTCCATTGAGATGGATTGGTGATTGTGGTCCTGGTGTGACTTGAACAGGCAGGTGCTTGGTGCCAAGCAAAGGAACCTGGCTGTGCGCTTGGTGGGGTGTGTTCAGGCCCACAGGCCAGACAGAAGTTATGGCCCACAGCCTATGTTGTTGCTCTGGGCTCTATAAAACTGTAATAGTATCATATTATTTTAATCTGCTGAAATACAAACCCCAGAGTAGAGAACACAGCAGCAGCATTAAAACATCTGAGGAAATGTTTGACATGGATTCATTTGTCTCCAGCTATTATGATGATGCCTGTGGCCGATTAACTCTGTTGGTTACAACATGGTGTTAACGAGGCCAAGGTTGTGGATTGGAGAGGCCTGTTAGGTGAGCTGGTTCCGCACGAAGGAAACCTCTTCACAGCTCCAGACCACGTTCAAGACCCTGGTCAGACAGCCCATGAAAGCATGTAGATGATCACAAGGCCTGGGCAAGAGAGTGTAATGACTCAGCAAATGTCCCTTTACCCGCTGCTGGAAAAGCAATTTAAAACATGTGCTTTAGTGATGGTGAGTTACTACTGTGATCTTCTCACACAAAGGCTATCACATTATTATGAATGGTAACGGGTGATCAGTACTGTTGCAGACTTCCTTTCTGAATTAAGACGTATACTAGCTCTGGCTGTGAGGAGGAGAGGAAGGATCTTTGGTTCCCTTCTTTCACACTCAGCTTTCTGCCTGCCGAGATTTTGCACACACAAACACACACACACACACACACACACACCCCGTGCATTCAACAAGTGTGCACGGAATGCTCTCATGTGCCGACCCTGTGCTTTGTGCTTGGGAGGCCGCAGTGAGTAAGACAGAGTCTCTGCCTCATGGAGCTCAAACTCTATGGGAGGAAAAGGGGTAGTGAGGAGACAGTAAATAACCAGTGCAATTTCAAGAAATGGAAGTTTGGTGAAGAAAAGCATGGGGTGAGGGGGCGTGATGAAGAATGGCTGGTTGGGGGACGGCATTTACCTTGGATGGGAAGGTCTGGAAAGACCTCTCAGGGTAGGTGACATTTAAGCAGAGACCTGACTGATGAGCACGAACCAGCCTTTTGAAGAGCTGGGGGAACATTCCATCGAAGAAATAGCAGGTGCAGAGGGCTTGAGGTCTAGTCTACTCACAGTTAAAGAACAGGGAAGCCAGTGAATTGTGGGAGAATGTGGTACGAGAGAGATTGGAGAGTAGGAAGGCCGTTTAGAACATGCTAAGGAGTTTCGTTATTATTCTTAGTCAATAGGAAGCCATTTTTTGTTTTTTAAAGATTTTTGTTGGGGGGGGGATGTTATGGATTGAACATATCTAAAACAGGTATGTCGAAATCCTAACCCTTAGTAACCTTATTTGGAAATAGGGTCTTTTCAGAGGTAATTAAGTTAAAATGAGATCATTAGGGTAGGCCCTAACTCAGTTTGACTGGAATCTTTATAAAAAGGCGAAATTTGGGCACAGAGACACACAGAGAGGGAAGAAGACTATGTGAAGACAGAGGTTTGGAGCAACGCATCTACAGGCCAAGGAATGCCAGAGATTGACAGCCAACCACCAGGTGCTGGGAAGAGGCAAGGAAGGCTCCTTCCCCTGGGTGCGATGGCCCTGCCAGCACCTTGATTTTGGATTTGTAGATTTCTAGCCACTCAGTTTGTGTTACTTTTTACAGTAGCCCTAGCAAACTAAAAAAGGGGGAGTATTAGTATACTGGCTCTGCCTTTGGGAAAGCAATGAAGCACCCTTCCTGGACTCAGTGACACTGGGGTGTTGGGTAAATATATAATGAAAAAATACATAATGAAAAAATATATAAATTAATAGGATGGAGCCCACTGATTGAATTACCCTGTATAGAATACCCTACTGTTCGTTTAAGAATGGTCCTTTTAGTGATGCTCTGTAAATGATGGTTTGGAGGGGCGAGAGTGGAAGCCAAGAAATAAGTTGGAAGTCTGTTACAGTAACCCAGTAACCTGCATTAATCTAGTAATGAGTAATGTAGTTGGTAGTTTCAGAAATGTTCCGGGCCAGACATACATTTAGAGGTCATCAGAGTAGAGACAGCATTTAGTGATTGAAACTAGATGTTACTTAGAGGGGAGAGTTGAAAGAAGAGAATAGGGGCCAGGAGTAGGCCCTCTGGAACTCTGCTGTTTAGAGGCCTGGTCAAGGATGAGGATTCGTGGTGCTGAGAAGCGGCACCAGGACAGCTGGTAAATTGTCAGTATTCACTAATGGTTAATGGTTTAAAGGTTAAACTAAATTATACGGAAATACATGGGGAGAGGTATTGGAAGTGCCTCACCCCTCATATACCAAATTCTGTTTAACAAAGCAATATCTAAGAACCTTTCCAAATCTAAGAACCTTTCCAAATGCGGAAATCAAGTTTTTGTTTTCAGTTTGTTACAGATTATAGAATCAGACAAATTTTGTATAGTTGAGGCTTCCAAAAGGTCATTAAAATGTCTTTGTGCTCCAGATAGATTTTTTTTTTGTTTTTTAGAAACAGAGACTTTGTAAGTTTTCACAATGATCAAAATTTGTTATAAATCAGGGTTCCATTTAGTCTTCATTTGTGTGTTCATTAAGAGTGGAACCTGTTTCATTAATCACATGTTAAGAGATTACCTACCTTGGCCCAATTCAGGAAGCTGTTATTCTACATTACTCGAAATTTCCAAGCAAGCACGGGGAAGCTTTGGAGGAAATTAGAATCACATCTATCTTTGAATATTGGCAGAAGAACTAGCATCTGTTGGATCAGATATCTTCAGAAGCCTATTCTGCTCTTAGTATGTGAAGATTTGAACGTGGGGACTCTATCGATACTGTTTAAAGAACTGAGCACTGTGCTCGGTTGTTGTCTGAACTGGGAGTTGATTGCTGATGTGTTTCTGTCCTCAGGTCTGGCGAGAATTTCCTGACCGGTTGGTGGGTTACCCGGGTCGCCTGCATCTCTGGGACCATGAGATGAGTAAGTGGAAGTATGAGTCTGAGTGGACCAATGAGGTGTCCATGGTGCTCACAGGGGCAGCTTTTTATCACAAGGTAAGTCGGGGGCAGACTTGGGGCAAGTGGGGCTGAGTTGACAAGCCAAGAGTATGATACTTGTTTTATTTGGCCCAACTTAATTCTCACGAGTTTTGGAAAAATGTTCTACTTTAGATGTTTTTTTCCAGTTTGCCTCTTTGATTTACTAATTCACATGTACAGACAGTTGTAAATATTCTCATTAGCTTGCTTTTTGCATGCATTATGAGTTTTTTTTCTTATATCATTAACATTTCTTCATAAACAACTTCTTAACATAATTGCTAATATACCATTATATTAATATTCCATAAATCATGTGTAACTGTTTGTCTATCATTTAGCTTGTATCTAACTTTTGTATCTAATCTGTTATTTTGTATCTAATATATTTAGGTTGTATCTAACTTTTGTATCTAATCTGTTATTTTGTATCTAATATATTTAGGTTGTATCTAGTTTTTTGCTAGATAACGCTTTATATCAAATGCTTAAACAATGACCAGCGTCCATTTTCATACCCGTTTGTACTTAGGATCATTATGATAGATTCCCGGAAGTATTACGAGCACTCGGGGCAGGTTTTGATATATATATTTTTTTGGTTGTTTTCAATACAGTTTGTGCCAATTTACATTCTTCCCAGCAAAATACAAAAGTATCTTACCATACCCTCCCTTGCATGAAAAACATTTTTAAAAAAACCAAACTTAGCTATTTTGATAAGTGAAAGTGGATCTTATTGATTTCACTTTGATTTGATAACTATTGAGGTTGAAATTCCTTTTGTGTATACTTTAGCCTTTTGTATTTCTTCTCTTAGAATTGTCACTATGTTTTTGACTCTTTTTTTTATTAAAGGGAGAGATTGAAGGGTATGCATTGGACTTTAGAATATTCTGTTTGATGGTGGAGTGCTCCCTGGGAGTGTGTGGCTTAATTAAACAGTAATAACTTGTCAATTGTCAGCAGTGGCATAAGGAACTGATGTCAGGAAAAAGATCTGTGCAGCTCAGCACAGTTAATTTGACTTCGCTGTATTTATATTGATTGCGTGTTGTTATCTCAGCACGGCTGCCCTCATATTTTTCAGGGCTCTAGATCCAGAAATGAGTTTTTGTTCTTAGCAAAGAATAAATAAATAAATAAGGTTTATAATTCTTGGGGTTTGTGGTAGACTGATAAATACCTTTTTTTAGCCCACAAATTTCTGTACTATTTCATACATATAGGTTATGTAGTTTCAGAATTGCCTCATTTTGTTTCACTTTAAAAAGGACATGTCTGCAAAGTCAATCCACCATTAATACATCTGTTTCTATCTGCGGTCTATAGAAAGAATATGGAAAACAGGGTTGAACATTGTGACTCGGGGGAAGGATTTAGTGAAGATCAGTATGTAGTGTGTTTCTGAACAATATTTATTAAACATATGATATATTAATCAGTCCGGAGGGCCTACATCTTACAAGGGCTTCACACCATACGGTACACACCTCTGTTTACTCTAAGTGATTTTTTAAAGAATGACAGTGTTAAAGACACTTGGTCACCTGACCAAAAACCATTCTAATACTTCCTTTGCCCTTTCTATTGATCCAGGCTTGTGACTAATCTTACGAGAGAAAGCTTGTCCCCCTGCCGTGGCTCAGTTGCCCTTTGTGTATCAACCACAGGGAACTGCTATTTGAATGTGTCTCCTTTTCTGTCTCACCTGGCAGTATTTTAATTACCTGTATACCTACAAGATGCCTGGGGACATCAAGAACTGGGTGGATGCTCATATGAACTGTGAAGATATTGCCATGAATTTCCTGGTGGCTAACGTCACGGGGAAAGCTGTTATCAAGGTAGGAGGCATCCTTGGCCGGCTCTGCCCCTAACTTACTTTGCGATCTGGGGCATGCTTCTGGTTCTCTGAGTCTCAGAAGTTTTCATAACTATAAATGAAGCCTTGGAAAAGATGAACTTTAAGCTCCCTTTTAGCTTTAAGATTCTATGATTGATGCTGTCATATTGTGAAATTGAAGCTAGGCTTTGATGATTTAAACATATGTTTTATACGTTTTTTTTTGTTTTCACATCTTTATTGAAGTATAATTGCTTTACAATGTTGTGTCAGTTTCTGCTGTACAACAAAGTGAATCAGCTATATGTATACATGTATCCCCATATCTCCTCCCTCTTGAGCCTCCCTCCCACCCTCCCTATCCCACCCCTCTAGGTGGTCACAAAGCATCGAGTTGATCTCCCTGTGCTATGCAGCTGCTTCCCACTAGCTATCTATTTTACATTTGGTAGTGTATATATGTCAGTGCTACTCTCTCACTTCATCCCAGCTTCGCCTTCCCCCCTGGTGTCCTCAAGTCCGTTCTATACGTCTGTGTCTTTATTCCTGCCCTGCTACTAGGTTCATCCGTATCATTTCTTTTAGATTCCATATATATGCATTAGCATCCGGTATTTGTTTTTCTCTTTCTGACTTACTTCACTATGTATGACAGACTGTAGGTCCATCCACCTCACTACAAATAACTCAATTTCATTCCTTTCTATGGCTGAGTAATATTCCATTGTATGTATGTGCCGCATCATCTTTATCCATTCATCTGTCAATGAACATTTAGGTTGCTTCCATGTCCTGGCTATTGAAAATAGTGCTGCAATGAACATTGTGGTACCTGTACCTTTTTGAATTATGATTTTCTCAGGGTATATGCCCAGTAGCGGGATTGCAGGGTCATATGGTAGTTCTGTTTTCAGTTTTTTAAGGAGCCTCCATACTGTTCTCCATAGTGGCTGTATCAATTTACATTCCCACCAACAGTGCAGGAGGGTCCCCTTTTCTCCACACCCTCTCCAGCATTTACTGTTTCTAGATCTTTTGATGATGGCCACTCTGACTGGCATGAGGTGGTACCTCACTGTGGTTTTGATTTGCATTTCCCTGATGATTAGTGATGTTGAGCATCCTTTCATGTGCTTGTTGGAAATCTGTATGTCTTCTTTGGAGGAATGTCTATTTGGTCTTCTGCCCATTTTTGGTTTGGGTTGTTTGTTTTTTTGATATTGAGCTGCATGAACTGCTTGTATATTTTGGAGATTAATCCTTTGTCCGTTGCTTTGTTTGCAAATATTTTCTTCCATTCTGAGGGATGTCTTTTCATCTTGTTTATGGTTTCCTTTGCTTTGCAAAAGCTTTTAAGTTTCATTAGGTCCTATTTGTTTATTTTTGTTTTTATTTCCATTTCTCTAGGAGGTGGGTCAAAAAGGATCTTGCTGTGATTTATGTCATAGAGTGTTCTGCCTATGTTTTCCTCTAGGAGTTTTATAGTGTCTGGCTTTACATTTAGGTCTTTAATCCATTTTGAGTTTGTTTTTTTTTGGTTGTGATGGGTCCTCACCTCTGTGCGAGGACTTTCTCTAGTTGGGGCAAGCAGGGGCCACTCTTCATCGCAGTGCGCAGGCCTCCCACTATCGCGGCCTCTCCTGTTGCAGAACACAGGCTCCAGACGCGCAGGCCCAGCAGTTGTGGCTCACGGGCCTAGTTGCTCCGTGGCATGTGGGATCTTCTCAGACCAGGGCTCGAACCCGTGTCCCCTGCACTAGCAGGCAGACTCTCAACCACTGTGCCACCAGGGAAGGCCCATTTTGAGTTTATTTTTGTGTATGGTGTTAGGGAGTGTTCTGATTTCATTCTTTTACATGTAGCTGTCCAGTTTTCCCAGCACCACTTATTGAAGAGGATGTCTTTTCTCCATTGTATATTCTTGCCCCCTTTGTCAAAGATAATGTGACTATATGTGCGTGGGTTTGTCTCTGGGCTTTCTATCCTGTTCCATTGATCTATATTTCTGTTTTTGTGCCAGTACCATACTGTCTTGATTACTGTAGCTTTGTAGTATAGTCTGACTATACAGTTTTTTGTTTGTTTGTTTGTTTTTAGTTATAGTTTTTAACCTCCAGTATCAGAGATAAAGGCTGTGGCGGTCAATCTACAAATCATGTTTTTTAAAAAATATAATTTTATTCTCAAACGGGACTTGGAATCTAGTTCTTTTCGTTAAAGAATGCAGTTTACATCTTTCTTAAGGTAGCTGATTTTTTTTTAATAGACGCTGAGAAGATAGCACACTTTGTACAATTTATAACTGTAGTTGTCCTAAACATTATTTTAAGATAGCGATTACCAGTTTGTAACAGTACCTTTCCTGTAACATATTAAAAGCTGAGATCACATGGGGATCTTTGTATGTGTAATAGATGTCTGTTCCTGAAATGTAGATCTTGCTCAAATCAGATCCCTAGAAATGCAGGGAGAGTACACTTCTGTGTAACAGTGGAATCGTCTTGACCTTTCTTTCCTTCTGGATTAGAATTCCATATGTGAAAATGGGCAGTGCTTCTAGGCCACATTCCTGTACTGGAAGCTTATGTTGGACGCATGGTGTGGCATCCCCAAATGATTCCTCATGCTATTAATTGATGAGACAAGCTAGATTAAACCAAAGTGACTAAGGAAAGAGGAAAAGTCACTATGTGTTCAGACTCGACCCAATCTTACCCCACCCCCCAGCTCTCTAAATTACTCAGTGAACAGCTCACTGCAGGGAAAATTAAAGAATGTACATTGCAAAACTAGTTTTAAAGGAACTCCCCTTATTTCCAAATTTGCTTTTTTTTTTTTTTTTTTTTGCGGTACGTGGGCCTCTCACTGTTGTGGAGCACAGTCTCCGGACGCGCAGGCTCAGTGGCCATGGCTCACGGGCCCAGCCACTCCGCGGCATGTGGGATCCTCCCGGACCTGTGCACGAACCCATGTCCCCTGCATCGGCAGGCGGACTCCCAACCACTGCGCCACCAGGGAAGCCCCAAATTTGCTTTTGACGTGCTTCAAGATGTTCTTAGCTGTGCCTGCTTACTCTGGACAGTAATTCCTCGGGTCTGTATGCTTCTTAGCCTGGTCTTAGTTATCTAGCTTTCTTCCTCTCCCATCCCTCTACTGGTTACTTATCTTCACTAGGTTAGGATAGCAGCCTCCCCTGAGTTTGCTTAAAAAAAAATTAGAAGTTTAACATATGGGAGAGTGGTGGGGAGAGTCAGGGAAAACGATTCAGAGGGCCAAGGACCATTGGATTTTTTCCTCTGACTCAACGGGATTGCAAAATAACCTGGCATTTTCAAGAGCATGGTGCTGCTCGTAGCATTTGCCATTAGCCGGAAGAAGGAGAACGAGTGCCTATTGGAACTAAGGTTACGGTGAAAGTTATGGGAAGCTGTATTTCATCGCCCTTATGGCTGCAAGAACAAATGGTGTTTATACAAGGACCTTGGCAGTGAGAAAACAGTCATTAAACAGGAATTAAGGAGCTTGTCATCACCACTTCTTTCCAGTTACAGAAGGCAAAAGCCCTCCAAGCCTTTTTTATTGGGCCCTTGTGAGTGCTGCTGTTGGCCGAGCCAGACAGAACTGAATGGAGGAGTAGTGAGGCATGTGTGTGCATGTGTGCCTGCAGCGGGAGTGGGCGTCTCAGCTTATAGAGCGGAAGTGTGCAGAGAGTGGTGTCATGAGCGTGATTTTATTGTCCTTGGCACTGACAGCCAAGTATATTTTTGTGCTCTTCTGGCAGGTGACACCACGAAAGAAATTCAAGTGTCCTGAGTGCACGGCCATCGATGGGCTTTCGCTAGACCAGACACACATGGTGGAGAGGTGAGTGAGCCTCTAACCAAAAGTCTGCCCTAGTCTCTGATCCCCATTTCCTGCCTTGGGCCTGGTTATGGGACTTCGTTGCAGATATAAGGACGGCAGCTGGTAGCCATAGTCACCTCCTTTTGCACGTGGGAATTGGGTTAGTTCAAGCCCGGGTCACCCAAAGAATTAATTTGGAATGCTACTCACTCAATTTGTAATGGTTGGAAGGGTCTTAAAAATATAGGCGGCCTTAAGCTCCGGAAGCCAGATTCTCCGTGTGGACTAGGCAGTTAACTATCCACAGTCATTCGAGTGGAAGCGAGTTAATTCCAAAGAAATACTGGATTGTTTTCCAGGGTAACATCTCCATGTTACAGTGAAAGTTTGATTGGAAAGAATTAAACTAAACCCACTAGAGACAAATTACCTTTGCTGACACAACTGAAACACCTACCAAGAACAGAATTGAAAGCACAGCTCTTTACATTACAGAGAGAGAAGCAAGGCAGCTCTGAGATACTCCCTTTATATTGATTCAGTCAGTCAGTAAGCACACCTTTGTGTGGATGTGATACAGGGCCTTGCAGGTGAGTATAAAAGAAGTGGGAGAGGTCTGTCTTCCCTTAAGACCTTTATAATCTTAGAGTAGACCTAATAGTTCTCACTTGTATCCCAAAGGTCCCCAAGCTTCCAGTCTCCTGAATCAAACCGAATTCTTCCAAAGGGCAGCCCCTTACACAAGACGGCAAGCTCTGACAGCCAGTAACACTATTGTCAAGGGACCAGCATGCATTCAGAGAATGTCATGAGAAAGACCTTAGCATGAGATGTCTGGTTCAGGTTTCCCCAGGTCTCATATGCATCTGCTTGCGGCACTCATTTCTGAAATCTATCAGCCATGTCAAAGTCCTTCGAGCCTGGAGGACTTTTTTGTACAGCGAGTTGTTTCACTTGGCCTGGATTCTTCTATAATGCTTTACTCCTTCTTACTCTTACTCCTTACTCTTACTCTCTAAATAATCTCTTTATCTCTTTCATATATAAATGTCTTACCCAAATGACATGACTTTTACCAACCATCAATATGAAATAACATATTATTGTGATTTTGGAAATATCTGTCACTGGTATCAAGTATTACCCAGTCAAGGACAGTGACATCAACTGTCATAGCTCATTTGGAAGAGACCCCAGTTATAGTTCTATTAGAGCACATGAACTTGTTACCTAAACCTACCCCCATTCTGTGTGGGGAAGAATTTCATAGCATTGAGCAATTAGTTATTGATTGGACTGAGTTAAAATGGTGGGGTTATAGGGTCCAAGAAAGGAATTGTATGGAGAAAAGTTGACCTAATAATGGCCCTTAAAGTTCATGCTAAAGCTAAACAACTCCTCTGTAACACCACTGAGATCATAACAAATGCAGTGGGAAAGATTTAAGTTAGATATAATTATTATTAAACACTGAAGAAAGTAACTATGGGAAATGTGGAAGCTTCCTCGTGGGAAGAGGCTTTTGAAAATAGAATAGGCAGCTGCCCAGATGTTGGTAGGCTCGATTTTATCAGAGTTTATAATTAACAATAACAGGTACACACACGTGTGTGTATATATATTTAGTACGTGTGTGTGTGTGTGTGTGTGTGTGTGTGTGTAAAACTTAATCCAAAGCTATATGTGGTAAGTGTCATAAGGAAGGCTCAGAATGTCATACCTGATCGCAGGAAAGAGAAGTGACTTCTTGCTAGGTCAGTTATTAGGAATAATTTTGTAAGAGGTGGCACTTGAAGTGAGCCTTCAAAGGTCACTAGGATTCCAACCGATGCAACTCTGGGCAGGAAGAGGAGATCCTCGGCAGGGAAACTGGATGGTCCAAGGTACATTTGGCAAGCGGTCAAGATATCCAGTTTGGCAAGAACGTAGCATTGTGGCCCATTAGTGCCAAACTGCAGAGAGCCCTGGATGCCCAATTAAGGAGCTGAGCTTTTTTCTCCAGGCTCTGGTAAGCCATAGAAAGTTTTTGAATAGGAAGTAGCTTGATCAAAGTGTTGTTTTGAGGCTGATTTGGAAGTGGTGCATAGAACGGAATGAAGGTGGAGAGACAGAAGAAAGAAGAACAGAAGGCTCGAACTAAGTTGACTGTGGAGAAGAAGGGATGAATTAAATTGCAAGGGATTTTTTTTCCCCCCAAAGGAGAAGAGCTGGCTCTTGGTTTCCAGCTGAATAGGTATGGGGAGGTTATGGAGAAGCAGTTGATCAAGACAGTCAGGAAGAATGGTAGTACCTTTAACAGTGTAAATAATATAATTAGGAGGGACGCCAGTTAGGGGAGGCAAGGGGATGAATGTTGGACCTCACAGTATAACTAATGAGGCCAGGAGATTTAATCGTGTGTGAAGTTGGAGAGCAATCAGGCAGGTGAGTCTTGGGTCTTGCCCTCTGTCTATGCAGGTGTAGATACAGGGCAAGCAGTTGGAAATATGGAACTAGAACTTTAGAAAAAAGATTAAAACAAAGGTGGAGATCTGGAAGACATCTGTCCAGAGATGGCAGCTGACTGAAGAAAAGCCAAGGGCAGAATCTTGAGAAATTCGGACACTTAGGAGACAGAAAGAGTAACTGAAAAGAGAGAAGCAGCCGCTGGCGAGGCCAGGAGAGAGCCAGCGTCTCCAGTGCTCGGCAGCAGGGAGGAGCAAGGAACATGCAGACTAGGAAGTGGTCTTGGAATTAAAATGGTCATTGGTGACTTTGGGAAAAATGATGTCATGGGTTGATGGGGCTAAAGAGTGTGAGCTAGTAGTGAGGAAGTAGAGTCAGTGAATGTAGGCTCCCCTTTTGAGAAATGTGGTAGGGAACAGAAGGAAATCAATCTTGAAATTAATTAGGAACTGAGAGCAAAACTATTCGGATGAATGACTGAATTACTAAATAAGGCACTTAGATGGGGAGGGAGGAAGACGTGATTTCAGCCCAGTTGGATAGACCAAGAGATGGAGTTACAACTGCAGAACTGTTCATTTGTTTTCTTTTTTTAAATAGTTGCCTTTGCAGAATCCACATTTTTGCACAAAACAGTGAAAGGAGTTAACCACTCTGCGTGTTATGACGTTGTGTTGAGATTTGTGGTTCAGTAAGCTTGTTTATCCTCAGAAACCTCAGTAGTGGAGGAGAATGGCTTTTACTACCCAGCGTCCATTTCCAGGACCTGCCGTTAGTTCTTTAAGAAGCAGAAGAATTTGTGACTGTTCATTTTGGCCAGTAGCTTTACCCAGGTCAAGACGGTACAGCAGTGTTGATTTAAGAAACAAACATTGTATTTTGATTCAGGCCAGTCTTTGTTCAGATTATGGATTAGCCACTTATTTGCTGTCCAACTTAAGGAAATTGACTTACCTCATCCTGAATTTCCAACCTTTTCATTTCTTAAAATAGATATATTAACTATCTATCATGTTGCATTCAGGGGTTCAACAAATATTTACTGAGCATCTTTGTAGCAAACAGTGTGTTATATGCTGGGGATGAAAGGAGTAATAATACATGAAAGCCTGTAGCACGGGGCCTGGCGAGGTTAGTTCGCTTTCCAATTTCCCCAACACTGATCCTGAAGGCTCCTGGTTACTTTAGGTAATTGTATGTGTTTGAAAGGAAAACTGAAAACTGTTAGTCCTTTCTCCCCCAGACACTTCCAGCGCTTTGGAGATAGACATTGGCAGTTCTTAGCCTGTCTGTACTTGATTAGAAAACCAACCCAGGGGAACAGTTACTGACATGGTAGCTGGACCCCTGACAGAACAACTCAGGTGGGCCACCAGCAATCAGCCAAACTCTTAATCTACCCTAACCTGTTGCCCAACCCAGATCCCCTGCATGAAAAGAAAGTAGGAACCACAGTCAACACCTGTCAGGAGAGTTAAGGACCTTTACGATTCAGCATGAGCAGCCACTTCTCCAGGGCAGGCTGTGTGGAGAGAAAGAAGGACTCACTAACCTGGGTTAGCCGGGGCAGCTGTCAACAAGTCAAGCTGGCCTGAGCCCCAGTGGCCTCGTGCCTGTGACCCGGCCCTGTTGGCAGGTCTAGTTACAGAGGAGACATTGTCCTCAGTGCTCTCCAGGGGGCCCTAGAGCCCCTATCCTCTGCCAAGAACCGTGATTCTTCTTTAATACATGCTTGCTGGCACCTCTGCTGGGCACGGCTGGGCTTTGCTGGCCAGCATCTACAAGCAGAATAACTGGAAACTAGAAGGATCGGTACATGTTTATAGGCCGAACAACTGTCAAAAGTAAGACCTTGGGGCAATTTGACTTAGTCTGCCACTGCCTTGACCTCATGATTCAAGGAGAGAAAAGCTGTTGTCCAGTGCTTGCTTCATACCATTTTGTTAAAACCCCTCGGTCTTTTCCCCAGTCTCCTGTCAATTTGGTACCTGGGACTACGACCTCCTGAGTCTCAAAAGACTGCCAACAGGAGGGAAACTCAGTGACCTGTGGGTTATTGTAGAGTCTGATAGAAAGAGCAAGGGCTCTGTTGCCAGCACAAGACTGGGTTTGAAACCCAGCTCCGCCACTTTCCAGCTCGGGGTCCTTGGGCAGTCCCTTAGCCTCTCTTAGCCTGAATTTCTCAAACCATAACAGGAAGCTACTATACACCAATCCTTGGGCATACGGACAGGGCTATTTAAAGGAATCATTGGGATCATGTATGTAAATTAGCTGGCACATCATAGGTGCTCAACGGTTGTTAATTTCCAGCTCCTCCCTTTAGACCCTAGAATTATGTTAATAAATAAATGTGTATCATCTCATAATGAAGACTTTAGCCTCAGCAGCCAGAATGCCTGGGTTTGGTTCTGCCTCTTACTAGTTATTTGGCCTGTGGTCCTGTCTCTTAGCCTCTCTGTGATGTGTCTCTGTCTTCCCAGTGTACAGTGGGAAGGATAGTAGACCTGCCTCACAGGGTTGCTGTGAGGGCGAAGTGAGTTACTAATACATGTCAAGCACTTGTAACACAGCCTGGAGCATAGAATAAATGTTAATTGCTGTTGATTTGTGGTCATGGACACAGTGATCTGATTAGCTGGAAGAGCTCAAAATGAAGTAGTAACACATTTTAACCAAGAGAAGAAGCAAGAGAAAAGAATTGATAGTAACTGGCTTCTTTATTTATTGGTTTCTTGCTAAAGCTCAAAGGACTCAAGTAAAAGCTATTGATTAAAATAAGTTGAAACAAGGCTTACAGTATCTCTGAGGACAAAAGAGCCTTCTGGTCTGTGTCTTGAAATTCAGCCCCTACCTGGTAACCCGTTCTCAGGTGCCGTGGGCCTGACTGAGGAGAGAGAATACTGACCTCTCTGAAATCCATCCTTGAGGGCCCCTTAGCTTCGAAAGTGGTTTTTACGGGCTTGTTTTCCCCCTCGGGTCTGATGCTGAAGTGTCCTCATTAGCCAGCTGTCACACTCAGCTGGGCTGATTGACCAGCACCATTTCCCGCCAGCATGTCTGACCTGCTCCCCTCTGAGGAGGCTGCTCACCAGGCTGGGGGCGGTGTTGGGGGTGCGGTGGGGGGGCGAGGTGCTGAACTGCCTCCTCCCCCAGCAGTGCTAAGTTGCTTGTTGCTTTGTTGCTGCCGGTTCTAACACAGGAGTGGCTAAAATTGTGAAAGCTGTCCTGTGTGAACTTCAGCTTTCATGGAAGAGCTTATGGAGGTTGACCCATAATTCCCAGAGATTGCCACTCACAGGCCCGCAGTAGATGTGGGTTGACTGACTGAAGTGTTTGTCCTTTGCAGTTGAGGTTCAGTGCCCCATTGCCTCCTTCTGCCTTCCATCGCTCCATGTGTACGATCTTCCCTTCTCCCTTTTAAACTTGAGTGGGCTGAAGCTCAGATCCAAGTGCCTTTTGCCTTTCCACCCTTCGTCTTCTCTTCAGCTGGCAGGGATGGGGTTAAGGATTGTTGGCAGCTAATCCACCTTGGTTTGAGGGCCCGCTTCTATGGAGCTGGAAGAATGACTGGAATTTGAGGGGGAGGGGAAAAGATATTCTGACCTCTGCAGGCCCCTGGCCTCCAAACAGCATCCCTGGTTCCCTTTCTCCTGCCGAACTAGTAGTTGAAGTACCCCCAGATCACTTCCTTTATCCACACCCTCCCAACCATGTTAAGAACCTGGGAGCATGCTGGGGATCCTTGCATTTCTCTTGTAGATGTTGAAGACTATGTATTGATATTTTGCTCTCACCTCTCAGCCTCTCGAACGGTTTCTCTTTTCCCCACCCCCTGTCCCTCTCATCTGCTCCACTGCCCTCCCCAAACCCCACAGGTCTGAGTGCATCAACAAGTTTGCTTCTGTCTTTGGGACAATGCCTCTTAAGGTGGTGGAGCACCGAGCCGACCCCGTCCTGTACAAGGACGACTTTCCTGAGAAACTGAAGAGCTTCCCCAACATCGGCAGCTTATGAAATGTGCTGCTGGTGGAGGTCTGAACACTAATCCCGGGCGGAGGAAGAGAACACGTCCCCCCAGCACTCTGATGCCCAGATTTCAGAGTGGGAGATTGGCACATCCCTGCCCAGCCTGCTTACCCGAGAGCAAGAGCCCAGGGAGGACATCTGAGTACCTCGTGCAACCTCTGATGCTCTCGATGGGTTCTCTCTGAAAACTCCAGATGGAAGCCTTGGGCAGGCTCCAGGGGTAAGGCCAGCTCAGGTGTCCTTTGTTTGTAGCTCAATACAAGGTCTAAGAGGAAACTTCACTGGCTGTAAGACAGCTGAGAAACCTCCAGCCCATTTCAGATTTGGGGAATCAGGTAAGAGCTACCTGTTTCTCACTTTTCGTTATTTCAGATCAGTGAGTTCTTCAGAGGAAAAGCCATGCCCAGAATTTGGTGCAAAATCCAAACATCTTAGTGGCTTTTGATGCCTTGGGACAATGGGGCACTGGCCTCGTCCAGAGAAGAGCACCGGCTGCCGAGATGGGACCTATAAGTTCCATGAACTATCTCTCTTTGGTTTGGCTTTTTGATATGATTAAAATTATTTTTTATTCCATTTCCTACTATGTCTTAAATATTGGTTATGGAACTCTGTTTCTTTTTGTGTGTATTTAACTCTATCTTCTGGCCTCAACTCCAGTCTCCTCCTCATGTCTGGGAAGATATGTAGCCAGGAGGAGTATCCGGTGCCATGTACATCCAGCAGAGGAAGAGCCCCAGACTACAAACACTCTTAGAGAAGATGTGTCCCCAAACCTCCAAAGGAATCTATATGCTTCCTGATTAGATCTAGATATTCTCCAGGAAAAACAGAAGGCCTCTCATAGCCATACACTGAGCCGCTCTGCTGGTACCATGTTGTAAAAGTTGAGGCAGTTGTGACCCTCACCCCAAGGGGGTGCCACAATTTCCCTCATTCTCTTGGTATAAACCTAACATTAGCCAGAGAGGTTCTGGCTAACGTTAAGTGCTGCTATAACAACTGTTCTGCAATAGTTGCTGGTGTATTTAAATCATTACATTTCAGCATTTAGTAATACTGCACATGTGTGAATTATACCTCTTTAAGCCCAGTTGATGGACAAATCTACCCTGGCAAATGTTAGACGTTATGGATTCGAAACAGATTTATCTGTGGCTCTAATATTAAAATTAGCCACAGTTTGGGCTTTAGCCATAACATATGTCCCCAGAACACAAAATACATAATAATTTGCTTGGAATATGGGTATAATTACTGAAACCTAGTTGTGTGCCAGTCCAAGTCACTAAACCACCACACATTGTTCTGTCAAGTGACATGAAGGTGAGCTGTTCTCCTGCTGTAGTTTTCAAACTTGCAGTTTTAACGAGTCACTTCAAATGTGCTCTCATAGACTTTGAGAGGCCAAAGAAAACTTTCAGAAGTAGCAAAATTGAGAGTGGAAATCTTGAGAGTCTCATCTTTCATATTAAGGAGCGGTAGAATCACGGACTGTTACAGGTGGAAGGGATGAGATAGCATCTCCAGGTCATTCATTTTGCAGATGCAAACACTGGAGTTGTGATTTATTCGTGTATTGCAGCTGCAAACACAGGTGCTTAAATCAATACTAATGATTTGAATAATTAGATACTAGTCAGCAGGGGATATGGGAAGGCATTTTGGCCTCCTATTCACAGTACTGGGGCTGGTATGATAGAAACCAAGAGGAAGGGTTTTCTCTTGTACACCCAGATACTGGTAGCTGACACAGTGAGTACCTCTGACCTTTCTAGGGGTTCTCTAGCTTGTTTTCCAAGATTTGGGGCAGGTGGAAGGGGAGGAGGGCCTCACATTTAAATCCCAGCTAAAAGCCAAGAACTGTGCTGACATTGCATATGTGTTATCTCACCCTCAATGTATAGCACTCTGCTCTTTTCACACCACCGACTGCACTACCTTAGTGGCTGGTTTCTAATCCAGTTCTCACTCTCAAAGGGTAAATTAATCCTCCCTCCCTCCCTCTTTATTTGCCCTTTGATTATGGAAGAGAAATGCTTCAATCTGAAGTCGTTGGGAGCCCCAGGGGACTGAGTTAGTGGGCCTTTTTCACCTTCTTAGGAGTTGTTGGACTTCTAAGGGCATTAAAACTCTATTTCAAGTACCTTACTACCCCCAGAAATATTGGGGGCTAGATCTTGCAACATAGCAGAAAAGAATTTTTATTATAGAATGAGTATTACATCCTAGGCACTGGAAGCAAACCTCAAAGCTTCTATTCCTAGGAACAGACGGGGTGCAGGTCACCAGGAGAAATTCAGGACAGGAATATAGGAAGTGATCGCGATTCATGGATTCAGAGACTAGGGACTCAACCCCTGTGTTGGTGAATTTCTGAACTGCTCACCAGCAAGCCTCACCTATGAGCCTGGGCGGGGATCATCTGTCCTTGGGATGCCATAGGGCCTGGTTTTAGAAGTGGAACAATAATGCTAATTAAAATGTCATGTTCTGGCCTACAACAGACAACAGCTGGTTTTAGATTTAAGAAATCTTTTTTAAGGAATTGCATCCTACTGGCCTGTACAGACGATGAACCTGAGTTGGCCCTGGCCTTTGTCCAAATGTGTGCTCTAAGTCACTTGCCTTTGCCCCCAGGGATCTAATTAGGATGAGCTGGCCCACTTGGAACGCCAAGGTTGGAAACACTTTTGTTGGTTAACATTAGATAGCTGTTAATATTCTTATCTCGTGTATTTTATCAAGCCTCACACATGTTTAGGCAGAAACCTCCTTTTCTGGGAAAATTAAGGAGGAAGATATCAACTTTTGTTCTCAGAATCTCTGGTTCTTTCCTGCAAATGATGCTATCCTGTCTCCTCTTCTTACTCAGTGTCATGAAGGTCAGAACTCTGGCTTCTCTGCTGAAGCCTTATGTGCTTCCAGCTTGTGGTTTTTAGGAGTTTCTCTGCTGCCTCTGGAAAAAGTGACCATCATCCTGGCCTGTGCTGACCAGGACTGGGAGCTGGAAGAGGCCAGCAGCCTCCGTGCTGTCACTTGCCGAAGAGGTTGCTAATAGCTCTGTGATCCCGGCTTCCTCCTGGGACAGTCCTGACTGGAGGATCCTTGCCACTGAAAGGTAGCAGGCTTCTAGCCACGGAGTTCTAAAGGTCTGATTGCTGGGTTCAAGTCCAAGACCCTTTGATGGTAGAATTAAGAAGTAGATGAAGCAGGGACTTCCCTGGCGGTCCAGTGGTAAAGAATCCGCCTTACAATGCAGAGGATGCGGGTTCGATCCCTGGTCAGGGAACTAAGATCCCACATGCCGTGGGGCAACTGAACCTGCACGCCACAACTACTGAGGTTGCACGCCTCAACCAGAGAGCCTGCGCGCCACAACTAGAGAAGAGAAAACCTGCACGTCACAACGAGAGAGAAGCCCACGCCGCAACGAAAGTCCCGCGTGCCACAACTAAGACCCAAAGCAGCCAAAAATAAATAAAATAAATAAATAATAAATCTTTAAAAAAAAAAAAGAAGAAGAAGTAGATGAAGCAGAGACGTGTTGGGAAGTGGTTCAGTTTTGGGGGGATTCTTCCTGGCTCTGCAGTCCCAGGATCCCGGGGGAACCCAGCTGAGAGGGTGGAGGTTTTGGGTGTTGGAGGTTCCCCATCATCCAGCCACCCTGAGCCTGGTGGGTTTCCTTTGCTTTGGGGACAGTAGCATCTCTGGGGGTAGGCTGCTTTTCCCATTTCTCTTGGTCGTCTTCTATTGCAGCAGCAGAAGCCACAGCAGGTCATTTCCTGAGCCGCCCTGGCTCAGAGAGGCAGAGGCAGAGAATGCCCACTGGCCCCTCACCCCTTCAGCCACTTCCTGAGGAGCAGTCCTGGCAGGAGCGCCAGCCATGTTGGTAGGCGGCTGCCGTCCAGGAAGCCTTTGGAAGTGACTTGAGCTTTCCACTCAGGGCCCGGAGGCATATGAACCCTGGGGTCTGGCTGCTCGTCTCACCCGAGAGTTGTCCCAAGCCCTGGGGCTCCTGTCCTAGGCTAGTGTTTGCTTCTGAGTAAAACTGGGGGCAGCTTTTGGCTCCAATTTGCCAAGTAGGCCTGGTGTGATGATCTGAACAGGCCTCACTGAGCTGCTCCTGGCAGAGGAAAGGTAGGCAGGTGGACTCTGCTCTCACTTGTAAGCTTTTCCTCCTCTTTAGGGTGGGAACGTCCTAAGCTAAACTCACAGCCTCTCTTGCACCTCTGTTAAGTGGACTGTCAAGGGTCCCCCGCATCAGGCTTTGTGACGTCCAGGTTCCCAGGGAGGGGTTGTGTGGTCTGTCCAGGCAATGTTGTGCCTCGGCTTTTCAATGTCAGGCTCACCATTGCTGGCAACACAGGGAAGGTGGCTGGGCAGTTTGGCCCCCTCTCCCAGCTTTCCAGGCTTCTCTCCTTTTCAAGAAATTGTTGAGTCACCAGCATGTGTGTCTGGCATTTGGTTTCCTCAAATTTACAGCCTTTTCAGGGTAGAGTTTTTTCCTTTCTTCAGCTCCCAACTGGTTGGGCCCCTGGTTGCATTTCTTCCCAGTCCTGACTGGCGCAGAGCTGTCAGGCCAAGACGAAGAAAGGGCAGGATGTCTGGGTCACTCTTGAGAGGTACCAGGCAGCTGTGTCTGCTAGAGGTTTCCTCAGCAAAGCACCAGCTCATCTCCAGCGTCTCAGGAGCTGCACATAGAGTGACAGCTGCCAACAGAGCAGGGACCGGAATCCGTGGGTCTTGGACCCAAGCCTCCAGCCACTCCACCCACTCTGCAGAGCCTTCCCCTCACAGTGTATCTATTTGAGCTTTTATTTACAGCTGCCAGCTTCTATCATTAACTACTATGCCTAAGAAGAAGCTCAAGGACTGTCTGGTTTTCTGGTAATCACAGCTGAAGAACAACCAACTAGTTACTGACCCAGGTAAGGTAGTATTCAGTCATTCAGTTTTCTAATTGTTTCATCAATTAGAAATTGATGAATCATTGATTCATCAAAATGTACTCTTTGCCAGACCCTATGCTGGGTCCAGGAGATAGAATGGAATAAGACACAATCTTGATCTCCAGGAGCTCCAGTTCCAGTGGGAGTTCTTAGCTCTGTGAGATGGTGCGAGTCCATCAGTGGCCTAGGACTCCACAACATACATTTTAGTCCCACCTGTAAATGAGGATTCCATTTACACCATCTTCTGCAGTGCCTGGAGGATGCGAGCATTGTTTTATTTCCTCGTCTCATAGCACCTTACTCTGAGTTGAACCCTGGGCCTTCCTTGGCCTTGAGGGAGTCCACTCCTATGCCTTAGTTTCCTCAACCAGAAATTGGAGATGGCAAGAGCACTTAGACCTGGGTGGGTGAGATGCAATGATGGATCTCTTCCTCTGTCCTTACCCAGCGTCCTTGCCAGGTTGTACCTGGTGATGCTGGCAGCCAGCCTTTTTCCGGCCCCTATTTCTGCTCACCCTGTTGCCAGAGAGCTTGGGGGTCTGGATCCTATCTGGCCCCGTCAGGGTGGATTACTGAATGAGTGGTTCTTTTGCCCCAGTCCCTTTCCTGTGCTATAAATAAGCCCCATGTTTATTTTCTTATGTTATTGAAATGAGCAC